TCCTCTGCTCGTCCTCCCCTCCACTGCACCTACTGCAATTTTGATTATCATACCCGAGACACCTGCCATAAACTTCATGGCTATCCCGTTGGCCATCCCCTCCATGGCCAACCGTGGCGACCACCGCGCCGTGCCACTGCTTCCAGTTCTTCCCGCAGCCATGCACCTTCCAGTCCTCCCCAGCAGCCACGATTTTCTGCTTCCCGGCCCCATAATTTCACCCAGGCCCATCACGTGCAAGGCACCCAGGCCCCCGCCTCCTCTTCTACTCCAGCGACCCACCAAGTGCACGGGACCCAGCCCACTTTGCATGACTTGCAGCTTGCCATGCCTGACCTCTCTGCCGAGCAGCACTCCCGTGTTCTAGCTGCTCTACGTGACACCACCACCCCTCCTCAGGCCAATGCCGTGCTCACTACTGATTTTGCCCAAGGTTTGTTACCTGTCACCTCTCGTCATGGTCAATGGATTCTTGACAGTGGTGCTACGGATCATATTACTTCTTCCGCTTCAGGTTTGGTTAATCGTTCTCCTTCACATTTGCCGCCTGTTTCTTTGCCTAGTGGTGCTTCCGCTCCCATTACTTTTACCGGCACTTTTCCTTTAAATTCCTCAGTTACTTTGAAGTATATTTTATGCGTCCCTAATTTCTGAGTGGACCTTTTATCGGTTGGTAAACTTACAGATGGATTATCGTGTTCCATAACCTTCTTTCCTTCTTGGTGTGTTTTGCAGGACTTGGTTTCGAAGGAAATGATTGGTGTGGGTAAGCGACGTGGCGATCTGTATTACCTTGTGGCCCTTACCTCTTCTCTCCCCACCCGTCAACCTCTCTGCAACATCATTACCATCCCCTCCTCCCTCTGGCATAGGCGTTTTGGTCACCCATCCTCCACTCGTTTGCAAGCTTTAGCATCTAGCTCTCTTAATTGCACTTTTGATTCTAGTCATATTTGTGATGTTTGTCCGTTGGCAAAACAAACTCGTCAACCTTTTCCTTTGAGTTCAATTTCATCAACTTTCCCTTTTGCTTTAATTCATTGTGATATTTGGGGCCCGAATCGTCAATCTTCTCTTTCTGGTGCTAATTATTTCTTAACCATTGTGGATGATTTTTCTCGCTTTACGTGGGTCTTCCTCATGAAACATAAATCCGACACTCAACAATTAATTAAGGATTTTTTTGCTTATGTCACTACCCAATTCCGCACTACCATCCAATGCATTCGTACTGACAATGGTGGTGAATTTTTATCTCTTCGTAGTTTTTTCTCTGATCATGGGGTGCTTTTACAAACTTCTTGTGTTTATACCCCCCAACAAAATGGCGTTGTTGAAAGAAAACATCGTCATCTTCTTGAAACCGCTCGCGCCCTTCGTTTTCAATCCCATCTTCCTATCAAGTTTTGGGGGGAATGTGTTCTTACCGCTACTTATCTCATCAATCGTCTCCCTACCCGTCTTCTCCATCATAAATCCCCATTTGAGGTTCTCTTTTCGAAAACCCCATCTTATGACCACTTCCGCGTCTTTGGTTGTTTGGCATATGCCACCTCTGTCACTCCCACCACCAAATTTTCCCCTCGGGCTCATCGTTGCATTTTTCTCGGTTATCCTCATGGACAAAAGGCCTATACCCTTTACGATCTCGACAATCACCGTATTTTCACTAGTCGAGACGTCATCTTTCACGATAGTATTTTCCCTTATGTCGTTTCTCACCCTCCTATCCCATCCTCTTCGCCTACCCTACCCATCCCACCCCCTCTGGACTTTACATATAACCCACCCCTTCCTGCCCCGACGCCTCACCCTCCTCCACCTTCCTCCCCTTCCACGCCTCCCACAGATTCCCTTGCTGCCCCATTACCCGTTCCTCCCCATGCCCCTGCCCTCTCGGCATCCCCTCCTTCCCCCCCCCCCCCGGCTACTTCCTTACCTTTCACCCTTTTACCCACGGACATCCCTACCCCCCCACTACCTACCAATCCTCCCCTTCCCCGCACCTCTTCCCGTGCCCATAAACCTTCATCCTATTTAAAAGACTACGTTTGCTCGCAGGTGATTCTGCCATCCCACCCATCTTCGACTTCGCAACCCGGTTCTACACAAGGTACGGGATATCCACTTTGTAATTTTCTCTCTTATCACTGTTACTCTCCCAGGCATTTTTCTTACATTAACTCTGTCAGTCGGACTGTGGAGCCTTCCTCCTTTGCCGAGGCTGCCACTGACCCCAATTGGCAACGTGCTATGACTGAGGAGCTTCAAGCTTTACATGCTAATGGTACTTGGACTTTAACTTCCTTGCCCCCTGGCAAAATTCCCATTGGTTGTAAGTGGGTGTACAAACTCAAGCACAATTCCGACGGCTCTATTGACCGCTACAAAGCTCGTTTCGTTGCTAAAGGCTTCACTCAGGCTGAAGGTATTGATTATCATGACACTTTTTCTCCTACTGCTAAGATGATTACGGTGCGTTGTCTTCTTGCTCTTGCTGCTAGTCAGTCTTGGTCTCTTCATCAGCTTGATGTTAATAATGCTTTCTTACATGGTGACTTACATGAAGAAATCTATATGTCTCCTCCTCCTGGTCTTCGGCGACAGGGGGAGAATCTTGTGTGTCGCCTTCACAAGTCACTTTATGGTCTTAAGCAGGCTTCTCGCCAATGGTTTGCCAAATTCACTAGTGCCATCATTTCTGCCGGTTTTCAACAATCCAAAGCTGACTATTCATTGTTCACTAAAAAGTGTGGTATTTCTTTCACAGCTTTGCTCATTTATGTGGATGATATTGTGATTACAGGCAATGATGCTAGTGTCATTAATTCTCTGAAGTCTTTTCTCCGTGATCATTTTCGGATAAAAGACCTTGGTGATTTAAAATATTTTTTGGGTATTGAGGTTTCTCGTTCCAAACAAGGGATTTATATTTCTCAACGCAAGTATGCATTAGAGATTCTCAAGGACTATGGTTTTTTGGGAGCACGACCCATTGCTTTTCCTATGGATGACACAAAATTATCTGATAAAGGAGAACTTCTCAAGGATCCTGAAAAGTATCGACGATTAGTAGGTCGGTTAATATATCTCACTATCACTCGGCCGGATATCACCTATTCTGTGCATGTTCTAAGCCGTTTTATGCACGAGCCAAGGATATCTCATATGGATGCTGCGCTTCGTATTGTTCGTTATTTGAAGGCTACTCCAGGTCAAGGTTTATTATTTCGTTCTGACAACCAGACCAAGTTAACTGCTTTTTGTGATTCTGATTGGGCAGGTTGCCCTATCACTCGCCGTTCGACTACTGGGTATTGTGTATTCTTGGGCGGTTCTTTGATTTCTTGGCGGACGAAATGACAGAAAACTGTTTCGCTCTCTTCAGCAGAGGCGGAATATAGGGCCATGGCAGGTGCTTGTTGCGAGATAGTTTGGCTTCGTTTTTTGTTGAAGGATTTGAACATTCCTTTGGATGGTCCTTCCATTTTATTTTGTGATAATCAAGCAGCGTTACATATAGCTGCCAATCCTGTTTTTCATGAACGAACTCGTCACATTGAGATGGATTGTCACTTTATACGAGATAAGATTGTAGATGGCACAATAGAGACCAAGCATGTGGGTACGGCACAACAGTTGGCAGACTTGTTTACCAAACCTCTTGGGAAAGAAAAGTTTTCGGGTATGTTACGCAAGTTGGGAGTTCTTGACATCCACTCTCCAACTTGAGGGGGAGTGTTAGACAAATAAGGAATATGGTTGGAGTCCTTGTGTAATTGTATATAATATTATTATTGGAAGAATAAGCCGTCCTACAGCCGTCCTACCTTGTCCTACCTACACACTAGCCGTCCTACAGCCGTCAAGCCGTCCTACAGCCGTCCTACCTTGTCCTACCTACACACTAGGACGGCTACCTTGTCCTACCTACACATTTGTATCATGTATATATATATCCTTGTAATCTTGTAGAGAAAGATAATGAAAAAATAAGCATTCTCTTCCATTTGCATTCTCTTCCATAAGCATTCTCTTCCATTTGCATTCTCTTCCATTTTTCCACATTCATGTATCAATAACAAATATAATTTTTAGCCTACATACCTTTTTCTACATGTTCTAATTGTTTGGGTTGAATTTGGTATCAACATAAAAAGAAAATCAGTATGTTAATCGAATTCAAGCATCAATTCATTAGTCCTTTAAAAATCTACAAGAAAAATAATATAAATACATATTTATTGTAATTTGTTGACAACTGTTAATAATAGTGAGAAACGTTCACGAACAAGTGGATTGGAGTCATTTGTCAACTCTCCTCACTTATGCATTGAAGTCATTTTTCCGACAAATTATAGGTTTGATGAGTAAATATATAAGAAAAAAGTGGAGAGATATATGTGTTTTGGATAACGATATTCTCTTTTTGCACGTTTTTTAATTTTCTTATTTCTTTTTTCTCTTGATTCTCTCTTGATTCAATCTTTACGGTAAGAAAGTAAGTAATTTATTAGTGTACTTGAAATACGTTCACGTGAAGTTATTATTTCATTCAAATTATAATAAATATTTTATTAATAAATTTAAAAATTAACATATCAATACATAAAATAATGCATCACGTGATTTGCGTTTTAGTTTTAGTACTTACAAAAATTAGTAAAAATCAAGTTCCTTGTGGTTTTTGTAAGTGGGTGAGTTGACAAAATTATTGCGTATGTAGAGAGAAGGGCATCCTCTTTGGATCCCTTCTACTGAGCTAACTGAGCACAAAATCCGGACCGTTGAAATTTAATCCAACGATTAAAAATAGGAGATCCTATTAAAAAATTTAATAACTTTAACTGTTTGAGAAATTTCAAGGACCTGAATTTTTAGCTCAGTTCTTATGTGGAGAAAGACAAAAGGATGATGGGTATGTATGGATAATGGACCGCATGGCCCAAGTAAAAGGGAGCCGACGCGTGGAGAAGATATTTGCCGCGTCCGATCACGACCAGTTTAGGAAGGCGCGGAGAGACCGCGTCCCATCAATATAGCAAAAACGATAACCCATATAAAATTGGAGGGGACGCTACTCCATCTGTCCAGCATCTCAGATCTTTATTTCTTCCTCTTCATTTGGTTTTCTACTGAACAAAAAAATGGGCGGTGGGAAAGACAAGCAGCACGAAGACGAAGCAGCAGACAAGGGGCTTTTTAGTCAACTTGCACACGGACTCGGAGGAGGTTCTTACCCGCCTCAGCATGGGTACCCTTCCCAACACGGCGGCTACCCTCCCCAGCAAGGCGGCTACCCGCCCCAGCACGGCGGCTATCCTCCCCAGCAGGGCGGCTACCCTCCACAAGGTTACCCGCCCCAGCAGGGTGGATATCCACCGCAAGGGTACCCGCCGCAGCAGGGATATCCTCCCCAAGGATACCCGCCTCAACAGGGGTACCCACCGTCTGGGTATCCTCAGCCTGGCCATCAGGGCTCATCTGGTAATTCTATTTTTTTCCCGATCTCGTATGAATTTTTATGTGAATTGATGGATTAATCGGTGAAATATTGGTGGAACTTAATTACCACAGTTTTGGATCTGATGTGCTTTATATATTGCGAGACGTATAACACATGATTTTGTTACCCTAGTATGCATGTTTTATTAATTTGTAATTTAATATGTTATGATCTGCAAAAGAGAATCAAGTTTCAAATTACCCCAACCCGGGAGGCACGAGTAGAAACACAACACCCTATTTTTTGTTATCAAAGAATTTTCTTCTTTATGGTGGAACTAAGCACAATAGCGTTTTAGGATTCATACAGCCGATCCTACTTAGTAGGAAAAGGCTTTGTTGTTGTTGTTGTATGGTGTGATTGGACGAAGGACTTTAAATTTCGATGGAACTCGGGCTAAATTTGTTGAATGCGCTACAAAAATATGCAGTACGTTGGAGAGACTTTGAAATGAGAATTTGAAATGTGTCATTTGAAAGTGATTCGTTTAGTGTCTTTGAATTGCATTGGTAGCTTTCCAGTGCTTAACTAGTTCATTGGCGGCGTTTTTATAGTGCATTTTTAACAATCGAGTCTTAAGTTCCTTGGAACTATAATGTCGGAATGATCTTAGTGCATAAATGTCCATCTAGTCATATGAAGTGCTCACAGTCATATGTCTAGTCTCCTCTTATGATTACTTAGGCCTTGTGATTATCAGCTGATTAGGGTTGTAATTGTACTTGGATTTAAAGTTTTCTTAGCTTGTGGAGCTGTTCTCTGTACTCTCAAAGTTTCATAGTTTATTTCTCTACATGTCTTCATGTGTCAGTTTGATTCTGAGTGCTTGTGCTATTTTATCTCTTCAGGACACCATGGCGTAGGGACGTTGCTGGCTGGTGGTGCAGCCGCTGCTGCAGCTGCTGCTGGTGTTCACCATCTCACTCAAGGTGGTCAGCATGGCCAAGGTTCTCACGGTTCTTATGGTTCTCATGGTATGCTTCCTGGCGGTTATGGTGCTCACAATGTTGGTCACGGCTTTGCATCACATGGCGGGAAGCATGGCAAGTTCAAGCAGGGGAAATTCGGGAAGCATAAGAAAGGCAAGTTCGGCAAGCACGGTGGAGGCAAGTTCAAGAAATGGAAGTGATGCGTATCATACTGATCTTATGGATAAATAAATAAGCTGTCAATTACGATATGTGGTTCGATGGAAGTCCGTTATGTGTTTAATTCTGCAGAATTTGAACCATCTGTTTTTTCCTTATGACTTTGATTCTATATATGTTGACTCCTTGGCCATTTGACCCGCATTGTTATTATTTCTTCTTGTAGAAATGCGATTGTTTATGTCTGAGTTTTACACATTCGCCTTTGTCTTTGGAATTCTGGCTTTGTTTCTGTTATCCATTTTGGGTCGTTATTGTTTATAATGCATTTCAACGATTAGAACTTGTTTACACATTTTAGGTTCGCATTGAAAGATCATCCACGTAAAATTGGTCATCCAAATTTTATAATTGTTTGATCACGTAGAACGCTTATAGCAAGTGCTTATGAGCGGGATGGTTTTTCAAGTTCAAACAGACGCTTGCTAGTTTTTTTTTGGGGGCTTTTAGATCTAGGTCTAAAAACATAGATGGTTTTTAAGAGTGAGTTCAATTATCTAATTCCATGTTTTTATTTCTTTTATACTCATTTTATATTTTTTATAAATATTAAAAATCTTCTAATATTATGCATTTTTCAACTCCAAAAAATCTAATTAATATCTTACAACAACAAAAACTAATATGCTAACATAAATTATCTACAAAACATTCTACCTTAACTCAAGTAACAAATATATGAATATATATTATACATGTAAGCGAGATATAAAATCTAACTAAAAAGTAGGAAAAAACATAATATACCTACAAGCAAGACACATTAATTTGTGACACGTTGATTATAAAAAAGAATTTGTCATATAGATACATAAAAATAATTAACCTGTGATATAGGTTGATTATAAAAATTAAAAATAAAATCTATAAATGGGGTTTAAAGCAGGGGGAAGAACAAGAAATAATAAAAAATAAAAAGAAAAAAAAATAATCAAAGAGATAATTAAGAAGAAATTTGATTTTTATAATAAATCTTATCATTGAATAGATAATTATTGATAATTAAATAATTAAATTTAAGGAATTAGACTTATTTTAATAAATTGGAATATTTCTACTATGGGCTAAAAAAATTGAACTTATATCAAGTTTTTCCTTTTTTTTTTTTTTTCGAAAGCCCTATGATCAACAAAACAAACCCAAAGTCCTAGCCCATTGGGCCTATGCAATAAAACCCAAAAGTATCTTTGTTTTGATCTTTATGTGCCCAAATTACCCCAAAATAAAAAAAACCCTTGGATATTTATGCCAAACTTTCATTATTCAAGATAAAGCAAATATCGACAAACATGATTAGCAAGTAACGCGCCACTCATCACTCGTGCCATTGTTTGATAATTTAGTGTCTACGTCGTGACGATGAGACTGTCACACTAAAAAATTTCTCGACTTAACGATCATTGAATTAGAGAAACGTATGTATTAAAAAAGAAGTGTGATATCCATACACTCCATTTTACTTCCCACACACCTTTTCAATTTTCGGTCGTCGGATCGGATAAATTGAAGAATATCAACGGACAAAAATTAACAAAGGATATGTGAGAAGTAATTTAAGGTGTGTGGATAGCACATCTCTTAAAAAAATCATAATGATTGTGATAAAGCAAGGGATGTGTGTCTTTGAAGCAACCGTTAATAATAACTGTCATCAACGGAAATTAAAGTATAAACAAATCCAGGGCGCTGATCGGGCCCAAAGTTGGACCCATCACAACGTGATTGACGGCTGGATATGGGCCAGACCATGTGCTGACATGACAGTCCCTTCTAATCGCATGACGCTTGATAGGCTTGGTTGGTTGCTGGGCAAAGTCACGAAATTATTTTCTTTTTCTTTTTCTTTTTTCTTAGAGAGCAAACAAGGCTTTCTCATCAAAAGACTCTACTAAATTAAAGCACACCAAGGTCCAATTGTACTCTCTGACTTATGACCTCCCCCTACTTATGATAACCTAAGTCATTTATTTGATAATTGATACTATATAACTCATTATAATATGTGCCGGAGTAAGTCGGTGTTACAGTTACACTCCAAAAGTTCTTTTAAGTTTCACAATTTCTTAATTTTCATTTGGTTGTGTAGAAACACAAAGGTTGAGTTTGCAAATACAAACTGTCTTACTCCATATAAAATATTTGATAAAGCTGTCTGATTAGAGCAACTTTCACACTGAGTGAGACGCTCATAAAATTAGATGAAATCATAATATAAGGGAATAGTTGACTCATCAAATAACTCTCTAGCCTCTTTTTTTCCATCTAATTGGTTTATGTTTATTCTAGGATAGCTAGATGGTTAGAAGTTCTTCATTTTTTATTAATTCAATCGCTCTTTTGATTTGAATAAAAAAAAAAAAAAAATCATTATCATTATATTGCCTTCTTTTACACATTCATCTCTAGATTCTCTACCTCTACTGGGAAGGCACGGAGTTGGGATAGATATGTCTCAAAGATCAGGTATTTTGGAAAATGTTGTTGTCACGCTCGCCTAACTATTGAAAACTTGAGCCGACAAAACTATTCGACCAAGTAAGAGGGGGCTAAAAAGGGGAAAAAAAAGTAGAGATTTGAGAGTAGTTGAGCCAGCTTGGCGACTCCTTTGATTTGCTTACATTAACGACAGTCGTGACATGTAAAAGAGTTGGTTACTTAAGTTAATTATATATTTTTGTTTTTGTTTAATGATAGGTTAGGTTAAGGAAAGTAAAAACAGCCAAGCCCTTTCACTGTTTTAATCAACAAAATTAGTTTTAAGAGGAAAAAGGGAGCATTGGATCTTGTCATACAAGGTATGGGCATGACAATAGTTTGTTTATAAATTATTTTTTTTTTCAAAAAAAAAGATCAACTGGTGGCTTCGCCATGGCAGTCCACCTTTCCGAAGACCGAAAAGATTCACAGAAGCATTTCAACTCAAAACTGTGCAAACGCAAGGGTGAAATTTTATGAACCGGTCAAGCTGCTAATTCACTTTATGATATGAAGCTAGTGGGTCTAAATTTGAACTGCCTCGAGGCAGGCTTTACCTTTCACTTTTCACTAAAGAAAACATATAACCATAATGTTCCATAATTCATGGTACTGCAAAATGTTATCTCGTCGTACAATTTGTTATGTTTAGTTTTATCATGAACTATAGCAGTACAAGACATTTATGTTGTTAGACCAAAAATTTAAATCATTGATCAGGTTTTATTATTGGTTGAATATGACATAATGTATGGCACTAATTTAAGTCCGAAAACATAAATATGACAAGGAAATAATATCTACTCCATTTAAATCTTCATAAAAAAAAATAAAAATAAAAAAGAATTTGTATGCAACACATGCACCAAGATGATTTATGAACAAATCATATGACAACTATATAAACTCATTAAAACACTAAATAATACGTGATAGGCTTAAAATGCCGCTGAACTTCCCGAATACATGTTAGTTTTTCTTCTTTATGAAGGCATGGCTTGTGTTAATTTGCCAACAAACATGGAGGGGAAAATAGTGGAGGATGGAGGAGGAGAGTGAGAGAGACGCAGAGAAATCGTGTGGGTCCAAGGAAATCAAAAAATGAGGATAGCAACGTACGGCAAAAAGTTCAAACCTTCACGCTGAAGCTAAAAACACAGCTCCGTGAATATATTTGACTTGGTGTATAGCGATTTAAATTCCAAAGATATTTATGGCAGAATGGTAGGCACATATCATCCATTGTGTCTTCCCAATGGCCGGCACGCATTAGGCCTTCACTCGTGCGTGCAACTGTGATGAGTCAATATAGAGTCATTGGTTGTCTATGATCTCAACAACTCTCAAAATTATCATGTATAATTGACTGTGTATTTATATTTTGACCCCTGTAAATGGTTACGGCGAATTAAGTCATAACTTCTTCCTCCTAATTCTGTTTTATTTTAACATCTCTATTTTCCGTTTCTCTCTTCTTGCGTGCGACTAACTTTATTGTGTGAACCGAGTGCTTGATGAAATGCTTCAGTTAACAAGCTTGTTAGTCTTCAACATTAGTTGGCAGTTTCCTACAACCGCCTTTAACAAGGCTCTATTGATCATAGTAATTGTCGACATACGTTGGTGTAAGCTTTTGTCGGCAGGAATCGACAAGTGAACGTCAAGTGCTCGATGAAATGGTCCATGAATTTATGTTTTTTCGAAATCATGACTCCATTATTTAAAAAATTTGGCAATGCCAAAGTGTGCAACCTTCAGCTCCAATGCACTCAGATTTAGTCGTCCGACAGCCGATAACGTTAGTGAAAAATACTTGATCTATTTTATATTTACGTTTTGCCATTAAATTGAATAATAGTCGATTACCATAACAATCGAACAATAACAATTAGATCGATGAGTTTGCATCATCAAAACGAGGAGAGAAAGTATGGTAGATATTTTCCGAACACTTTTTTTCTTCGTTTGTTTTTCTCTTTATACACGCTCATGGATATTTCAAACAAACACTTAATTCATTTCAGTTCTTAATGTTGAAAAGAGAATGAACGTGCAAAAATCACTTCCCGCCGAGCAGTTTTTTTGACTGAAATAGAGTTGTAAAGAAATAGTATTGTAATGTGCTACCAACTGTAACCAACCATATAGTACAGCTCTAGGAGGGCCCCAACCATGTTCAGCTGAGTGTTGCTTTTCGGAAAACAACTGCAATCTGTGAAGTGGTTTTCGGAAAGGCATCCTTCCTTCAAGTCCTTCTCATCATCGAACTTTTAAAATTTAAGTTCATTTTTTAAAATATAAAAACTTTAACCGTTAAATCAAATTTCAAATAACCAGATAATAATGACTTGATAAAAAGAATCTGGTTAAGAACCAAGTCTTTTAGATTTGACTAACTTAATTAACCTAATACACCACTAAACAAATCCCTTAAACACAATTAAACAAATCATTACAGAATCCAGAAGAGTAAACAGAACTTGACAGAAAACTACTAATTTTTATTACTTATTAGTAGAATCTTACATCCCAAGAGAAAGGGGTAGTGAAATTTCACTTACAAACCAGAAATTAAATTACCCTAATCCAGAATTAAACACTGATTCTCCCCTAATCAAACTTTGGATTTGGAACAAATTAAATTAATTAAACCCAAATTATTACAACACAAAAGAACACATCTTTCCTAGTAATTTATCTTCCTCGACCTAAAAGCTAGCTCCCCAAAGAAGCCGCAGCAGCACCCTTCCAAATAAAACCTGGATATCTTTCTTATTGCTCCTAATCTAATCTCACATTCTTGAATCTCCTTAATTAAATAATTAAAAACCCAAAATACCACCTTCATAAAACCCTAATCGGAAAACCCTAATTTCTATATAATCTTCTCTTTTTTTTCTTCCCTTTTTGCCCCTTTGGAGTTGGAACTAAATCAGTAGGTCCACTCCTGGGGGAGGCGCAGTTCAAGATTTACCGGCCCCTCGGCCGCTGCCCTTAATCCAAGTCTTTGCTGAGTCAGCAGTGCGTTTCTCCGTGCCACCAGTGCCTCTGCAGAATCCAATTGCAGAAATTGTTATTTTAAGGAACGAACATAAACAGAGTTATAAATCTGAAACACAAAGTTTCCAGAAGTAGAAGGATTGAACTGTGAACTTAATTACCGTGGTCTGGCGCCAAAGCGGCGTTGAAACGCGGCGGAGCGTGGCGGTTCATGTCCTCGAAGCTCAGGTTCAGAGCGTGAACAACCTTGGCCGGCAGTAGAACAGTTGGACTGCCTATTTGATAGCAAAATCAAACATAATATGTCAAAATAAAGACCCGAAGTAATTTTAATTAAAAAACCAAAAAAAACAGACCGAAATGGTCGAAATCCAAAATTACAAATTAGTACCTGCTTTCTTGCGAGGTTCAGGAGGGGCAGGGTTTGTATATCTGCGAGGCAAGAAAACGCCGGTGCCAGCGCATTCCCTCTTGATGTTGGAACCGTTAGGCAAAACGGGACGCACGGCGGCGTTATTGTGGTGCTGTCCCTGTTGATTTTGATGGTGGTGCTGGTGGTGGTGATGGACTTGCAGCGGCGGCCATGCTGATTGGGGCAAATTAACACCATGCCCGCATCTCTCGTAACCTGCAGTGTTTCTTCCTCTGGTTTGGATCTGCTGGTGCTGCTGCTGTGGTTGCTGCTGTGGCTGAGCTGACCAAGGAAGATGATTTACTTGGTTCTCCTGCCTCACATGGTGAAACTGCAAAATACCGAAAACACCCTTGTCAGATCACAACACAAGCACATCAAAAAGCTCTGTTTTGCTCGACATGAAATGGGCTTTACGACTTCTACCTGAGGGAAGCTCCGGTTGGAGCAGAGACCGGGAGCAGAGTGTTGGGGAGGACTGGGGATCCGAGGTGGCACCATAAGTCCGCGGCGGCCGTGGTTGCCGCTGAACTCAGTTGCTCCACCAAGGCTGTTAGTCATCTTCAACCGCGCAACCTGCCCGGCTGCCGCGTAAATCAGCTCCCAGGTGTCGTCCTGAGCTCCAAACGGTGTCGTCGGTGGGGACGGCACCTGGGAAGACGGGCCCGTCGGGCTTCCGTTGCTCGACCAGCTCCCGACTCCGCTCAGAATTGACTGGGGAGACCCGGACATGACCCACTGAGTCAATACAGTAAAACTCGGTCAGCCTTTCGAAATTCCCAAATCTTAAACAGTAACAGTATAACAGAAAATAAATCTGATGTTGCAAGCTGAAATCTTTACCTCGGGTTTCTCTTTGGGGAACGCGTCGGGGACGGACAGCTTCTGGGTCTGGTGAGCCGGCTGCAGCGAGGACTGGCCAAGGCGGCGAGTCAGGCCGGCGAGGAAGTCCTCCTCGTCGCTGCTGCTGCCGCCCTCAGTCTCGGAGGAGCCCACCACGGACTCGACGGGGGAACTCAGGGCCCAGTTGGAATCGGACGAGTCGGACTCGAACGGGAACTCGGTGGGGAATCTGGCGCGGGGTTCGAGACAGTTTCCGCGGAAGCTGTTGCTGTCGTCCATGTTGTGGAGCACGACGTCGTCCGTGAGGAAGTGGGAGGGGAGATAGAACCCGGGATCGTCCTGGGACTGAGTCATACGGACTGGAGCGTATAAATGGATGAGGCTAGAGAGAAAGGGATGAAGAAAGAGAGAGAGAGAGAGAGAGAGAGGAGATGGATTGAGTTGAGAGTGAGAGAGTGTTGCTGCTTGGCGAAGATTTAATAATGAGAGGCCAGTTGAGTTTGCTGGGGTTTGCAGGCTGGGAGGGACTGGGACCCCCAAAAACACAAGGTTAGAGAGAGAAACAAGAGAGAGAGAGAGAGAGAGTAAAGGAAAGGGAATGGGATGGGGAGTTGAGGACGATGTGGAAGACAAGCTGCCTTTATTAAGGTTTCAGGGTCTATTTGGGACAATTCAAAAAATTAAAAACAATTATATAAATTTGAAATTATGAAAATTGAGAGAGGGAAGGTTGGGGCAGGCTGGGATTGTGCAAACAACAGAAAGACTGGGCCATTGGTTGGAGACGTTTGTCCTTCTATGCAAACTCGCGCACTAAGTTTTCAAAAAAAATAATAATAATAACTCACGAGCTATATGTATAGTTATTTTTGAACCTTCGTTTTTTTTTTTTTTTTTTTTTTTTTTTTGTACTAGTTTTTTCTTGAATCTGTCATATTTTTGCAATTTAATTAATTGAGTGATTAGAAAAGGAGGAAGAAAATAGAGTGCAAAAACTATTTTGACTTGAGTGATGTTATTGTGGAACCAGTAATAACACTTACATGTATTTAATATAACAATCATCTAACAGTTATATTTAATTCATTTGGATGTATGTTTTTGTGAAATATTATTGGCATTCCAAAAATCTCATTTTACACTCTTCACAAATGTATTTTTCTTTTCTAATATAAAAAATTTGGAGTGTATAATGAGATTTTTTCAGTGCTACTAACAGTTTACATGTCTTCAATGCAATCATTATATGTCTCTTCGGAGACACTCAACTTTGGTGATTGATTTAGGGATGTAAATTGAAAATGAAATCGAAAAATGCAATTACCGTCTAACCGCCGAGACGATGATTATATAAATACATATATGTCTTGTATTCAAATTCGTTATTTGTACCATAATTAACAATGATTATTAATTTTCGTATGACCATCACACACTTACGTAACGTTAGTTATTTAATTAGATTATATTTGTTTATAACTAATTCAAAGCTCTACGTTCATGGCATGTCAAGTTCACACATAATAGTAATACGAAGTGCCAGTGAGAGTGGATAAGGTTGTCCTTATATAATGGGTTGTTTGTTGGAACTGAGTAGAGTCCGCAGAGATTTGTGGGTGTCTTTTACTGCTTATGTTCTCAAGCATTCCCACCGTCGAGATTCTTATTATTTGCAATTAAGCGACTGGGTTTTCAAATTTTGTCCAATTGGCATTGTCTTGTTCCAATTCGCCTCACTTTTTGTCCAAGGATCCTCATTGTGATTTTTTATATTTAAAATTGAATATAAACAATCACGTTCGTTTATTGTACATTGTACAATAAAAAATTATTGTAATTTTTTATACTTAAAATTGAATATAAACAGTACCTGATGAAAATTGACTGCACGATGTAGGATGAACAAACGTGAATGGAAGATCCTAGGGATCGTCATTCCTTTTTGTCACTTTGCCTACTTCAAGTCACTTAACTAAGGGCTGGTTTGGTACTGAGGTGCTTTTATAAAAAGTGGTATTAAAAAAAAAAGCTGAGCTCAAAAAAGTGTTTGGTAAACACTTAAAAATAGCTTATTTTCACAGTTTTGGGTGAAAAAAAAAACTGAAAACGTGAAGCAGTACAACTGAGCTTATTCTGATAGCACAGTGATATCAAACCAAACCTAAACATATTGTTGTATTTTTTTTATTCGGTCGAACGTAGCTTTGGATTTATACTTTGTTTTGAGGTTATTTAATCAAGACATAGGCATTTGACACGAAGAAAAACAAAACAGAACAACAACAAAGGTGGCAAGTTAGCATGTGGAATGATTGGAGTCGTTTTGCTACTTAATTATATTGATTCGATTAGTACATATTATTACACATAATTTGTTACTATTTTTGTGATGATTGCTACTAGCTAGCAACCGCTACGAAAGTGAGATCTCTACATTAATTGGACAAGTTAAAATTAGCTTCATTGCGTAGGTTAACTAAGTCTCCTCCCCCCTACTTGCTCCACAATTAATATAACATCATGTATCTAAGTTACACGTGTAATGTTAGGAATGAAACTCTCGTACTTAGTTAGGATTGAAATTCTCGTGTTTATGTCAGGAACGAAACTTCGTGCTTATGTTAGGAACGCAACTCTCGTGTTCATGTTAGGAACAACTGTCATGCTCATGTTAAAACTGAAACTCTCGTGTTTATGTTAGTAACGCAACTCTCGTGCCTATGTTAGGAAAGCAACTCTCGTGCTTATGTTAGAAACAAAACTCTCATGCTACTTAGGAACGAAACTCTTGTGTTTATGTCAATAACATCACTCTCGTGCTTATGTTAGGAAAACAACTCTCGTGCTTATCTTAGGAAGACAACTCTCGTGCTCAAGTTAGGAATAAAATTATCGTGCCTATGTTAGGAATGCAACTATCGCGTTCACGTCCTGAACAAAACTGTTATGCTCATGTTAGAAACGAAACTCTCGTGTTTATATTAGGAATGAAACTCTCGTGTTTGTATCAGAAACGAAACTCTCGTATTCCTAATAGGAATAACATTATCGTGTTTATGTTAAGAACGCAACTCTTGTAATCATGTTAAAAACAAAACTCTTGTACTTATATTATTAACTAAACTCTTGTGCTCATGTTTGAAAATTTAAACAGAAGAGATCTACCACCACTATTCGAAAAGGCCGACAAACAGTGACCAGAACAATATACAATTTATCATATTTTCGTGTTTGGCTCACCAACCAACCAGTAGAAATCAAATTTGTTAAATTTTCAGTAGGTACTCTTGCACTAAATGCATTAAATTAGCACTTCAAATATGTTGGATAAAAGAACTTGAGAATAGACGTCAATAATCTAAAATTCCTTCGCTCATAAGTACTTAATAGAATCACGAGTCAACTATTGGATTCCAACAACGACTTCACAAAACATGCTCTAATCCACGAACCAAATGAATTCTAGTCTTCTTATGTTGGACTAGTATACAGTGGCACCAGAATCGTCGTTCTCCCATCTTGTCTTTTTTATCTCCTTTACTACCGTAACAAATGTTGATACTGCATGTAAATTCAAGTATGTTCTTAATCAAAATTCTTTTTCGTTTCAGATCAGGCCTCATTTTTCTCTCTATTCTCTTATTGTAGTGTAGTCTTCATTTTCCCTTCTTATTCTAGCAATATTTCTTTGGTAACTAAAATTTTTCATATTCGGGTTTCTGGATTTGTGCAATGTTTTTAGTTCTCTCTGTTGAATTTAGGGTCTTTCAATTTTTCTGCATAGTACTCCAATTTCTGAAATTCTTGGTTTAAATTACCTATATGCAAGAGGCATTTCCACATATGAAATGTTGACTCTGCCACTGCTACTATATGCTTTTAATATTTGGCGCTGGTTGAAAACCAATGCAATTCATGAAAATCAAGTCAACTAAGGCTGTTTCGGAAAACACCTTTTTTCGCGCTATGTATGCTCAATTAGATCCAGTAACGAGGTCCGTTAATGTCAATTTCAGAGCAAGTCACTTGCCACTTCTGCACGACTGCCTAGAGCTTGATATAGAAACTTAATAGGTCATGCAAATGTCTTCTCCTAATTTCAACAGCTACATTTGACAATTCTTCACGAAATGACAACATTGATCGGTTATCACCTACGCAAACTAGCTACTCCCAAGTTTAAATTCAAACCAAGGCCATAAAGAATTCAAAATTCCTATGCAATCTAGAAAATTTATGTCACTGATCTCATATTATACCATGATTGCTAGTTTACAAGAAATGGGTTGTTCTTTTTTTTTTTTTTTTTTTTTTTTTTGTGAACTGGAATATATCATATATAATGAAGCCTACATAGAAGCAAGCAACATAATATCAGACCCGGTAGTGCAAGGGGATGAAAAGGAACCAAACGCTGCAATCAGAGGCAAAAGCGTCACCCCTCTCACTACCACAACTAAATTAAGGAGAGCATGGTAGTTCATAGTTATTTAATACATAAACCAGTAATGATGGGGGCCTATCAACTCAAGCAAAGTCACACATCTCCACACACCATCGCAATGCCAAGTGATCTGCCGCCATATGGGTTGTTTGGTTACGGTAATTCTTATACTGAGTGAAATATGGTGGATCATAATACATGGTGATCTCATGCTTTTGTAAGTGAGGTTGAACCCCATGTTGAGTGGATGTGGAGTCTGTTGCATAAATAATCCGACATTACACAAATTTACAAAATATTCAATACTATTATATGATTAACAATTCTCATATTGAGTGGAAATGCATGGATTTTAGTGGAACATAACACAAAATAATCACAGTACACAAAAACCTCGTTCTTTTTGTAACAGGTTTCATACAGTACGGACACCCTATGCTAGTTTTTCTTTTGAGTTTACGGTCAGACAAAATCACTCTCCATTGTTTATCCACATTAATTAGTAATGGAACTGGATTCTCTTTTCTCTTGTTTCTGCTCCTCTCGCTCACCTCTCTTTGCTTCGTCTTCTTCTTTTTCTCTATACAAAAGGTAAAACAAAATGATAATATAACTTAATATTAAGCATTTAAATAAAAAAAGAGCGAGAAAAAAAGAAAATAAAAAAGAAGAGAATCCAGATCTATTAGTAATTATGAGACTTCCCATTCTGCCCAAGTTTTTGTTGACAGCACTACATTTCATGTCGTTTGGTTAGTACTGCTGATTTAATTAGTCCTACTTTGTTGTCGTTAATTAAAGTAGTAGCGTAATCATTCATTAGTCTTCTAAATGTGCATGATTTGTTATGATCAAGATGTACGGCCAGGGATTCAGGGTTTAGTCCAGTAGAGTGCGGCTGATCTCACATTTGCTTTTTGCACGTCCAACACAAGTCAATCATGGAGGCAGGTTGTCTGACTTCGTGTTTGAATATCATTCTCTTTTCTTATTATTTTATGCGATCATAGTTAAACTATGTCAATATTTTATATTGATTTTTTTATAAAAATAATAAGATAAAAAATAATAGGAATATAAAATGTTGACGTAGCTGAATCGTGACCGCACAAATGAAAGAGGATGAGAAGGGCATCCAAACAATTTTTTTTTATATAGAGATAATAAG